ATTGTTTGCTCTCACTGATAGCAGAATTAGTTTTCAATGTGATGTCACAGGATTTTTTTTTTGCTCTAAATATTGATACTTTAACCGTTAGCACATCACAACATTAAAATTAGTTTTCAATTTGATCTCAGACTTTGCTCGGGTACGGATAGCAATCATTCGATTGTTTACCGACCTTTCTAGGGGACCCGTACAGAAGGCCGAATCACAAAAGGCCGAAAATATTCTAAGGTACCACAAAAGGCCGAAAATCGAAAAAGCCGAAAACCAAAAAGGCCTAAAATTTATCAAAAACCGAATTTGTTTAAAACCACATCCTAACAATCTGTTAGCCTTTCTGCTCGCACAACTGACTCGGCACGTTAAATGGTTTGCATTCACAAAAAAATGAAGCCAAGATGCAATTAAATATAGAGGTTTTCTCACTTGCTGACTCTTTGGGACAAACTAGTAAGTGGTAACCTGCGGGTAAGAGAACGGTACACGCTATTTAAAAACTACCCAAATTTGGGTAGAATCCACTCAGATCGGTCAAAAGTGAACCTATCAAAAATGGGTAAACATGTATTTACCCAAATCTGGGTAAACGTACCTGCGACAGAAACTGGGTAACGGTTACTCAGATGTTGACATTTGATAACAGGGTAAACTTTACCCATTTTAATAGCACAAGAATGGGTGCCATCTACCCAGTCACTGGGTAGATTCTGAATAGCGTGTAAGGAAATGAGAGATGCGATAGAGGTGAACGGTTTATTTACGCATACACAACAATCTGATTGGGTAGCGAGTTGCGCAAGCAGTTGAATGTGTGTAACTAGAACGTTCAGCAAAACGGACCAAGAGCAATATCGCTGCTAATGACGATTTTCGATTTGAGAATACCTCCCATATTGAATTTCATCTTGAACGAAGCCATCATCGTCATTGAATATTTTGGAACATCTGAAAATATAAAGCTAACTATCACTTTCTCTCTCATTCTGCATCTGAAGCCTTTTTAGCTCTTACAACTGAGTCACCTCGTTGAATTGTCCAATTGCAGTTGCAGAGAAAGTCGATGAAGAGAATCGATCAAAGCAGATAGGACCATTTGAAATGTTCATCGAGTTTTGTTTATTTCGGTCTTTCGTAGTACTCCCCTTTTTAGCAACTCAAAAACCCAGTAAAAAATACTGACTCCTGTAAAAAATCTTAAGTGTGTAATGTAAATAGAAAATCGATGAAGAGAATCTATCATCGCAGTTACGCCTGATCAGGGTTTGAAACTGTTGACGTTTTTTACGACACTCGCTTTGTTGTCATGCGCGACAGTCTTTCTTTTTATTCGTACTCTCAAGCTCTACCGTCGTCTCTCTTACACAACACAAACGGTAGAACAACATTAGAGCAAAAGGAAATTTTTCAAATAACTATCATATGACATGTGTGATTTTGTTCTAATTCCTCAATTTGGTGTAAATTAAACCAATTTTGATCTGAAATGTTATTACTATGATATTGTTGCTTGCTATTTTCAGAATTCACACAAGCACAACATCAGCAGCTCTTATGAGAAAAACTAAAATACATATATTCGTGACGGTCTTCGGCAACAGTGTCGTATGGCAGAGCCTGTCATATGACATTTTAGTTTGGTACTGTAATTTGATAGCTTGTTTTACAAGTGTCGGAAGCAAAGGCAGTCGATTATCACAGAAAATATTTCGACTACGGTGACCACTTACAAGACTGCGCCTGATTATAAACGCTAGATTTCAACTTGCCCCACATTTTTGCACCTGATAAGCGAAATCAGTGCAGAGGAGCAAGTTGAACGTCACATTCTCAATACAAAAAAAAAATCAGTTCATAATACCAGTGGCGTCCCGTAACCTCACTTTTTACCTGTGCACCAACTTTCAAAACCAGATTTAATGCCATATTCATACTAGAATCGGTTGAAAAATACATTTAATCTTCTAGTTTACTCGATATCTATCCATTGCATGCAAAATTTTGATAATTGTTCATGTTTTGAGAATTGGTGCACAGGTAGATTGAGGTTAAGGAAACGCCACTGCATAATACTATGACATGCTACCTCTCCACAATTAAATGTTCCTTGAATATGTCTCGAAATTTTTTTGATATAACCTTCAGACTTATTTTTGAATTTCAACATTAGCATGTCCTGCAACTTTGCTCAGAATACTTTGTACTACCTTTATTTAACACAGGATGTCAGCCCTTCAAGAAATATTCCCAATCGTGTAGTCTTCTCCGATTTCGGCAATTCAGTGAATTTTGATTTATCTATGACGCAGGAAATCCGCGGAATTCCAGAGCATCATCGTCCTATGATTGCTCCGTCATTATACGCTGCAAAGTTTGGCCATGTTGATTCTGCAAGAACGTTTTTCACAGATGGATCTCTAATAGAGGAGTCCGCTGGTTTTGGTGTATTTAATGAATTTCATAGCGCCTCTCGAAAACTTCAAGCTCCTTGTTCTGTGTATGTGGCTGAACTGGCAGCAATTCACTACACTTTGGAAACTATTGCTTCACTTCTTCCAGACCACTACTTTATTTTTACGGATAGTCTCAGTTCTGTCGAGGCTATCCGTTCCATTAGGCCGGTAAAGCACTTCTCGTATTTTCTCTTGAAAATACGAGAACTGCTTAGTGCTTTATCCGTGCGCTCTTTCATCATCACCTTCGCGTGGGTCCCTTCGCATTGCTCAATTTTGGGCAATGAGAAGGCGGATTCACTTGCGAAGGTGGGCGCTATGGAAGGCGACATTTATGATCGACAGATCGCCTATAGTGATTTTTTCTCTATTTATCGTCAGCAGTCGCTCGTTAGCTGGCAACATCAATGGAGTGAAGGGAGCTTGGGACGATGGCTACATTCAATTATCCCTAAGGTGTCGAAGTTTGCATGGTTCAAAGGGTTGGACTTGAGTCGAGACTTCATACGCGTGATGTCTCGTCTCATGTCCAATCACTATTGTCTAAACGCTCACTTGTTCCGTGTGGGGTTGGCAGACAGCAATCTCTGTGAATGTGGACAAGGTTACCAGGACGCTGATCACATCCTTTGGTCTTGTGTGGAGTATCGTGGAGTCAGATCACTTTTTTATGATTCCCTTCGGGCTCGAGGTAGACAACCTAATGTTCCAGTTCGGGATATTTTGGCTAGACGCGATCTGGAGTTTATGAAACTCATATATGTTTACTTTAAGGATATTAACCTTAGATTGTAAGTTTGATTAACCTTGTGTTTAGTTTGTGTTTTGTACGTCTGGGGGGTTTTTTTTTCAATGTTTGTTTTCAAGATGAATAGAAATAATTTCATGCTTTAGGATTAATTAAATAGTTATATCGTAAACCACATTTAAAACCTCCTTCTTCCCTTTTCCCATCCAAAAAATTGTAAATCTCCACTAACCTCGAGACGACCGCGAGTACTCGGTCCAGTTCCTTTAACTTTAAATATAAGACATTAACAATGTATAACGCAAAGGATAACTCGGCTCTGTAAAGTTTATTCGATTGAGCCTGTACAAATAAAGTAATTACAAAAAAAAAAAAAAAAAAAAAAAAATAATTTAAACAAATTTGCTCAGAATTGCCAATGAATGCTGCTTAAAGTTATTATGGAATTCTCCTCGAAGTCTCCTTTTTTGTAATTGTGTTTAAATTCCTGTGAAAACACTACCCTCAAAATTCCGTTTGAACTCTCTTCAGAATTCTCTCGGATTTATTCTCGTAATTCTCTTTCCCTCTTATATTTTCGTTGAAATTAGGAATCCTCAAAATACCCTTTGCATTTTCTTCAAAAACTAATTAACTTATTCCCTTAAGGTGATTCCTTGTAGAGTCCACAAATGGCCGCCACGTAGGCTATAACTGCACTTCCACATAAAATTTTCAATTACACAAATCTCGGAAATTAGTGCCTCATTTCACCTAAAATTGCTACTGCATGTATGCTGCAGCACAGCAAACGTTGAGTAACGTTGAGCTGATATTTGTGCACTTAAAATTTCGAAGTGGAAGCGAGAATAAGGATCTCACAGCGAAACACCTTAACTCTTAGTGCGCGTAGATCACTCCTTAGTAGGGCGAAACGGCGTAAGATCTACCCTCAAACCCTAGTCCCAAACTATTTCAAACTATGAGAATATGTAGGTTTTATTTTTAGTTATCAAAAGAACACATTTTAGTACTTGTTACGATTTACATAACAATTTCTAGACCGGACCGCCAATCGAACTTAGCCGCCTCCATCATGGTCTTGCTTTATAGCTTTTACCGACTGAGCTAAGGGAGGCCCCCAACAAAGTGGTTAACACTATAGGGCTCTGATGCATGTCCAATATCGATGGCATTGCTTGATTTTAGTGCCAAGGGATCTGATGTTGATTGACAAAGGGGCGCATCTTCAGTGCACAGTTCTGAAATATTTACATTATTTGAATCTCAGGTAAGCATGAAAGCAGTAGGTAATTATCCGGTTTTTTTTTTGTCAAATAACGTTAATTTTATTGACCATTGCACCGAATAATTAGAATAGGTTTCTTGCGACAAAGGCAGGAATGACAACTACTTCGCTATTTCTCAATAGGTAGTGATGTAGTAATACGACTACGACATGCACTAATCAAGGACACTGGAAATACATTTTAATTGTGCGAGAGGAACAAAATATTCTCAGAATTCTTTTGGAATCAAAATTCCCCATGGAATGTCGCCCCGAATTACTTAGAAATTCTATTCAGAACCCTCCGCACAAGTCCTTTGGAAGTCTTCTAAAAATTACCTCAGTATTCTGGTCAGAACTTCCTTGAAATGCTACTCATAATTATTCCCAGAATTCCTTTTATACTCTCATCGAAATTCTTTGCGGCATGCAAAAGCATTCCCCCAACTCACTAGACACGAGTCAACGGAAATATATTCGTACTTCAAAATTCTTGCCGATTAAGAATCACTAAACTGAAAGTAGAGCTACTTACATGTTTCCGGAAGAGATCGGCATGGATGGCCAATGCCGGATCTTGTACGGCAATGAACTTTATCACATCCTCGATGGTCCAATCACTGGTTTGACCACGCGGTATCTGTTGACTGGGTGATGGTACGGGTACGATTGTGGTCGGCATCGGTATTGGAATCGGCGCCAGATGCACGGCCATCGGAGACGATTGTAGCACGACGGGGGCTGCAGCTAACACTTGTATCGAAGTAGCCACCGAGGACGATGGCGAAGTTTGAATCGGAACGGCCAAAGGTGTGCTAGGTTGCACCGGGATACTCGGAACAATGGTGGTGGCTGCAGGCGCCGGAGCAACGTTTGCCGTCGGGGTTGAATGTGCTACTGGGATCGGTGCCTGTGCGGGTGATGCCGCAGAAGCAGACACGGTGGATGATGAAGAGGATGCTGCTATGGCAGCTGTGGCTGCGGCAACCGCTGCGGCTACTGGGTTCTGATGTTCCGATTTTAACGTTCTACTGTTCGATGCGATCGGTGTGGTCGGTAACGGAGGCGGACCTGTTACCGTTGATGATGGCGTTAGATGGACGGCGGCTTGAAAATAAGGACAAAGGGTTAGACATATTTAAGGATTAGAAGGAAATACCAAGACAGTTGCACGTTTCGGATAGTAGAGGAAGTTATTGACGTTAAACCATGCATAATGCGAATTAATCCAGGAATATTATTTAAACATAGCTTCCGAAACCTATTGGTACATTAGTATATTTTGTGGCAAGCACATTCATACTCTGCATAAGGAAGTCAAGGGATTATCCAACCACCGTCTCCTGACTTTGATTCCATGCCTTTACTGACTATGCTAAGGGAAGCCCTATTTTCAAGTGCCATTTTTCAATCCTCTGTTCAATATGTCTACAAAGTTTACGTATTTAAATTTACATCGATATGATACGATCAAATAATACATGCGTTAACATGCGAATTGCTCAGCGGAAAAATGTTCCATAGTCTAATCAAAAATCAAATTCCGTTCTCCGATTGAGCATCTGAATTAGGCTATGTAATAATAACATGAGATCGATACTAACTAATACTAATGATAACAACTGGTTAATTATGCTCAAATTTTAAATATTCTATAAGAACATAACAAGGCTTACCAACAACCGCTGACGACAGTGGCGGCGGAGAGGGCGAGCTTGGCTCGTTGTTTGTCGTTGAGGTTGCCGTTTCCTGTTCGACCGCTTTACGCTTCGGTGAAGGACTTCGTGGGTGCTCGTGCTGTGATTCCCGAGTTGTTGCGGCTGCCTTTGGTGAGGAGGCTGCTGTCGGAGGTGGACTTGCTGACCGTACGGTAGGTTCGGTCTTGATCGGCCTCTTCAGCGGGGTAGATTGCACCATACAAATATCGCACTGCTCTGGACCAGGTTCCAAGGTGATCAGGTGTTTACATGCTCTACATGCAGTACACAGTGTCTCCAGGAACTCTGACAGTACATTGTTACCTTTCTGCCGGATGCTGCCAGGGATTTTCACCGTGAAATTCTTACCGGCAGCGGTCACGATGTGTACTTCGCCGTCAAGGCCAAACAGCAAAGGTGAAAGTTGGGAATGATCCTTGGAAGCTGCTAGTACTTCTTGCAGACAGAGTTTGGCCAACGTCTGGTGGTTCGGAGCGGTGACCATAGACGGCAGCTTGGAGCTATTGATGAACGGTCCGCCCTTGCATCGACTGTGGAAATGAGCCGTCACTGGGCTAGTCGGTGTCATAGAATCCGGTTCGGAAATCATGGTATACGAAGAACGAGATCCCTTCGATCGGCTACCACTGCCGTCCATTTTGTTCTTCTGACCGGGAGGTTGCATGGGATGGCAGCTTTTGGCACACCACCCAACAGGGAAAATATCCCGCGAATCATAACGACACCAATAGTCGAAAGCACCTCGCCAACCATCGAACGTTACGTGGATTTGATCCTCCTTTACCGCATCCACTGTCGCACAGCAAATCAGTTGCGGGTTCTTCTTGTCGACTGCTTCCAGTTTCTGACCAACCTATTGGCAAATTTGTTTATTGAATAATACCATAAACAGTAAAATTTAATCAATCACATTCTAGACAAACCTGAAACAAATTGCACTTGGGCGTGGGTGGTTCCGGAACGAAAATATGGGCTGGTGCCATGGGGGCTCCGTTGAGCGTTTTCAGCAAGAACGTCGGCCAACTGCTGGCATTCATACGGAATCCGAGCGGCGGTTGTAGCATTTCTCCGGTCTGTTCGCAGTGACCAATCGGATGAATTTCCGTCGAGTCCACCAGTCGCCAGAAATCGTTCTTGTTGTCACTGCCGTCGAGCCGAAGCCGCAGTCGGGATCCCAACACACCGACCACACTTGCTATACAGGTTGAGGTGACATTCCGCGGGTCGAGAGCTTCCAGCTTCATGCCGATCTTGTACTCATTCGTCGGCGGCACCAGGGCCTGTTTGAAACATTCTGCAGGTGCCGGGACGCTACCGGATTCGCGCAGGTACTCGGTCCAGTCGAATACATGAAAGCTTTCGTACTGGAAGGGACCGGTTGTCGTGGTGGTCACCTGAAAACGGAGATAGATGGAAATGTTTAGGTAATGTAGTCGGACCCCATTAATTTATATTAATGCATTGTTTTCAGCAGCTGATAAGTCCCTTCGAAAAAGTAATCGAGATTTCTTCCTAATATCAATAAGTTTATGAAATCTTAAATAATAAAACGGAGCAGACTGGAGCCGCACCATGGATGTTGACATTACGGGACCCGTGTGTTGTCCACTCTATAGTCGCTATATTCATAGTCTGGCGGATAGAATCTCGGGAACCAATTGAGCTGTCAAATAGCGGAACCAATCGAGCAAATCACGACCAACAACAGAAAAGAGCATATCAGCTATTCCGAACAAAACTTCGGAAACCCTTTTCTCGTGACTCAAGACTCGGCTACTCAAACTAACACCATCTTTGGGTTGAGGAAAGTTTCCCCTATCCAATGATGCCGGTAATTTGCGTTTGATTGGTGAGAAAGAATAATCAACGTTTCGTTTATAAAAAAATGGTGGGGTTGTGTACAAGACACGACCGCAGGGTTGACGTAGACTACGTTAAGCTGTGTAGAGAAATTCTCGTGCATTTTTTCTAGATATTGATTTAAAATACAGTCGAAATAACCTATTATTTTGGTCCTTTGTACATATTTTGGATTTCCTACTTAGTAAAACTTGGTTAAATCCAGGGCCTCATCAAAATGCGAATACATATTCTATTTCATTTGGTTCCTAAATTACAATCAGATATGAGTAAGGCTTTCTTCAAGTGATTCATTGAAGCGTCCGACAATGACCGTCATGATGGCTGATATTCCCTATCACTTCAAGATTTCTAGGACACAAATCTTGGACGGTTGTGACATCGCTCAAAATTGAAACTCCTTGTGTACTGGACTGCAACAAACGTGAAGTTCCAGTTTCTTTGTTATAAGTTTTGTGAGAGCTGATATCTGTAATCTTGAAATTTTTCTATGGTAATGAGATTGATCCTCAGCGATTCAACTTCAAAACGCTAAAAATAAATGCACACACAAAAACGGAGTGCACAATTTTGCATCAATGTTATGCAACATTTCATAGTTGATCGAGATAATATCAATTAATCATTTTGTCAAGCTTCTGCATTCAGGTTCCATCAGATGTCACTGCTGTTGTTTGCGGTGACATCTATCGGAAACTACACACAATCTGTTTTCCTATAATTGTTCACAGAGGACACTGCAGTGCAAAACATGTCTGATACCTCTATATATGCATTTAGATTATTATTCGAAGTCCCTCCTTTTATACACATTCTGCATACAAAATAGCTCACCCCTCACAGAATTTCCCACCAAATTTTATGTATGGGGTGGGGCATAAAGTATCTTTTGCGCAGAATATGTAAAAAAGGAGGGACTTCAAATGTTAAAGCAAATGCATATATAGAGGTACCAGACATGTTTTGTAGTGTCAGGTACTCTATTTTGTAATCTGTGAAAGGGAAATCACAAATCGAGTGTCAACAAAAATACATGGCATGTTGAGTGATTGAGGTCGTGAGAGCAAATTTTCTCTCTCAAATTTGAATGTTTTGGCTCTCTGGGAACTGGAAGTAAAGCAGGTAAAACTGTATGGGGAAAAATCATGTTTAATTAATTATAGCTTGTTAAACAATAATTTCCGGGAAAAAAAAAACTGAACGACAAAGTCCCTGATTAATTTCTTTAGGTTGTCGTTCCCTTTTTTTTCACCTTAATATGCACCGAAAGCGAATTATTCCCACTTCTCTCAATTTCTACATGGGGATTTTTATCACTTTTTACCAGCGGAACAGCGGAAAATGGTCGAACAAAATGATTAATTAGCCATGAATCCCTCCAATAAGTTCTTGGTACATCTTTTATCTACCGATTGAACAAATAAAGAAAATACTTAGGCTGTGTTCCATTTGGAAAATTTTCACTTAGATTTGACACTTCGAAAATAAATTAAGATGTTCGAAAATCCCTCTGTTGTAGATCGGCCGATTTTCGAGAAAGCGTCTGTCAAATTGATTCCTTGTCTGTCAGAAATAAGTCTGCCGGAATAGCAGGTTTATTTGAAAATTTTCCATCTGTCAAATTTAAGTAAAAATTCACCAAATGGAACACAGCCTTAATAACTTGAGCACAGGATCGTTTCTTGTTGTGTTTGTCGTATTAGATGCTAGATAAAAACTTCTTTTATCGATATGTGTGCTGAAAATATCTGGGCCGAGTGGATTCAAGGAGAAAGTCGACGAAGAGAATCTTGTCAGTGTTACTTAGGACCTAATGCAATGTTAACCTTGAATTGTTTCGCTTAGCTGTAAAAAGAAAATCGATGAAGAGAATCGAACATTACAAGTAGGCCCTTTTGAACGCTAACTGTCGAATTTCAGAACCGAGCACTGAAAATAAACTCGACGGTACCTCTATTTATGCTAAGAGATAAGCATTGTAAGTCCCTCCTACTTGAAGAATTATGCAAAAAAACTGGAGTTGTATAAACCGTTCTTTAGCATAATTTTCCAAGTAGGAGGGACTTTCATAGCTAATCTAAAAGCATAAATAGAGGTACCGTCTGATAATTTATCACATTTATCCTTTTTATCACCACAGAAACACCCCGTTCCAGTTTTCTTATGCAAAACGCACGAAATCTTAAAAAAAAAACCATATTAGGATTTTTTTAATTCAATCAATAGATTAAAGATGTACCGACAATTAAATGGAGGGATTTCAAGCTAAAATGTTCTGATCGCGAAATATTGACTATCAATACCGAAATTTCGCATAAATGTCCAACCCATTTTGTGTGGTGTGTGCTGCTGTCTTTCAGAGTTGCCCAATGATTAGGGAACTTTCATAAATAACGTAGTAGTTGAGGGAGGAGAGAGGTTTCAGAAGTTGGGACCGGCCATGTATTAGGTGTATTGCAAAACACGCTCCGAGAGGGAAGGGGGGTTAATTGGTCAAAAATATACGTAATTTATGGATGGCGCTAATTTTACTTCCAAGGCTGTGTCGCAATGGGCGAGTTGAATAAAGGGTGATACGGTCAAAATTTGGTCAAGGGAAAACGCGTGTAAATCGGTGAAATCGTTTATTTAAAAAATCAAATTAAATTTCTTTTTCAAGTTCAATTTGCATAAAATTCAGGAAAAATATTCAGTTAGGCTTCCGCTTTTCCAAATCCGAATTGCCGGGCCTTACGCTTGACCCCTGCCATCAGATTTTGTACAGCCACCTTGTCCACCTTCTTCGCCGCAGAAAGCCAGTTTGCCTTGAACTGCTGCTCGCCCTTAGCAGTTTTTTTGGTCTTCTTTAGGTTCCGCTTGACAATAGCCCAGTATTTCTCAATTGGGCGGAGCTCTGGCGTGTTGGGAGGGTTATTGTCCTTGGGAACCACCTGCACGTTGTTGGCGGCGTACCACTCCATGGCCTTTTTACCGTAATGGCAAGATGCCAAATCCGGCCAAAACAGTACGGAACAACCGTGTTTCTTCAGGAAAGGCAGCAGACGTTTATTCAAACACTCTTTCACGTAAATTTCTTGGTTGACAGTCCCGGAAGCTATGAAAATGCTGCTTTTCAAGCCACAGGTACAGATGGCTTGCCAAACCAGATATTTCTTTGCGAACTTTGACAGTTTCATGTGCTTGAAAACATCTGCTACCTTTCCCCTTCTTTTTGCCGTATAAAACTCCTGTCCCGGAAGCTGCTTGTAGTCGGCTTTGACGTAGGTTTCGTCGTCCATTACCACGCAGTCAAACTTCGTCAGCATCGTCGTGTACAGCCTCCGGGATCGCGCTTTGGCCGTCGTATTTTGTTTATCATCGCGATTTGGAGTCACTACCTTCTTGTAAGTCGATAGTCCGGCTCGTTTTTTGGCTCGATGCACGGTTGTAGACGATACACCCAGCTTATTTGCGGCATCTCGGAGAGAGAGGTTAGGGTTTCGCTTGAAACTACCGGCAACTCTCTTTGTCGTCTCAGCGGCTTCCGGTTTTCGATTTCCCCCGATCCAGACTTCCTGGCTGTCGACAAACGTTCCCCAAACACTTTAATTACATTTGTAACGGTTGATTTGGCAACTTTTAGCGATTTTGCCAACTTTGCGTGCGAGTAGCTCGGATTTTCGCGATGCGCGAGCAAAATTTTGATACGCTGCTCTTCTTGCTTGGACGGCATTTTGACAACTGAAGAGTGAATTCCAAAATCAAAATAGGAGCAACATTCTACACACACACACCTTCAAAATGAGGGGTGTTCAGGTTTTTTAAATGCAAAATTGAAAGAAATACGTCAAGTTGATATTGACCAAATTTTGACCGTATCACCCTTTATAACTCGTGGTTAAAAGTGAGTTATCGAATAACCCTGCTATATGAGCGTGGTTATTTCGGACCGACTAGAAGTTAAATTTTGGTAGCCGTGACTGAGTTCTGTTCGAAAACTGATCAATTGCCGGCATTTTCGGACATTGAAAATAACTTACGAAATGTCACGTTAAATTTAACTCGGCAATTGGTACACAGCCCAAGAAGTATTTCTCGATTACTTTTTGAGGCACATTAGCAGCGCTGTTTTATAACTTTTCTGATTCAAGCAGCATGATGTGCAACCAAATTGTACTTGATTATGAGGCTGGGTTTGGGGAGAACGATTATTTCATGAAAACAGTGATAAAATTATTCTTTTTTATTTGTCCATTTTTAAAACAGTTTTTTAAGAAAAATTGAAAAAAGTTTATTGCAACAGCTTACGAAAGGTATTTCCTATCGATTGGTGTATTGGGATTTTAATTTCATCTATAAATGACAAAGATTATAGCGTTCAAAAAATTACACCTTTTCGTGACGGTCGCAATTTTAAATTTTTGATTTACCCCCAGTACCTTCCCGTAAGACGTAGTCTACGTCAAAAAAAAATAACATTGTATCATCTTGAGTAATTGATGGATAGTATAAACTCTGAGTAATTAATGAACATAATAAAACACCTTACATTATG